CTGATGAGAAGTCATGGCCTTAAGGAGGATAGATGGGTGAGTGCCCCTGGCCTCTGCCTGCTGCAGAGCACGGGGGGGCAGGGAGGGGGGGAGACGGGGGAGGTATTGGAAATCGACACCTTGGCTACATTAATCCTATGGTCCATTTAGTCAGGGATCCACAGCAGGCTGGAGTCGACTGCCTCTCAATTTAAGAGGAAAAATTAGTTTGAATCTGTGTGTGTGTGTGTGTGTGTGTGTGTGTGTGTAACAGGATGGGGTGGAGCTGTTTGTGAGATTTGATTACAGACGGTCTGTGGTTCGTCTGCTCTGGGGACGTTCCCGTTCCCCTCCCCAGTGTCACGTCGTTGTCACCACCAGGAGTTGTTGTTTACGTTTGTTTGTTTTTTTGTGTCGTTTCCTTCCAGTAAATGGCGTGTCGTGGGGGGGCGAGGCGGCCCGACAGAAGAGCCACACCTTCACCTGCCGGATGCTGGTGAAATTTGGACATGTCCACGGCCCCATAGAGGAGGGGGGAGCGGGGGGGCCGCGCTATGAGACCATGCAGTGTTTTGCTCTCTCTCAGCCCAAGGCCATGATAGAGGAGGGGGAAGGTACGTGGGCATCGAACCAACTTTGGTTTCTTTCCATTTTTTTATTTCAGTTTCACAGAAAAAACTGACTTAGAAAAAAGAACTTTATTGTTATAACGTTCAGTTGAATGTTTTTAAATCTGACCACTCCCCTCCAGACCTGCAGTCATGTATGATCTGTGTGGCCCGTCGAGTGACGGCTGTGGAGAGGACGGAGAGTTTCAACACCCGCCACGAGCTGTCAGGTGAGGGAGGGGCTGCGACCACACAACGCTCCACTGAAACACCTGCTCCACTGAAACACCTGCTCCACTCCAGTGAAGTCCAGGATAACTTCTCCTTCTTCTTCTTCTCCTTCTCCTTCTCCTTCTTCTTCTTCTTCTTCTCCTTCTTCTTCTCCTTCTTCTCCTCCTTCTCCTTCTTCTCCTTCTCCTTCTCCTTCTTCTTCTTCTCCTTCTTTTCCTTCTTCTTCTTCTCCTTCTTTTCCTTCTTCTTCTTCTCCTTCTTTTCCTTCTTCTTCTTCTCCTTCTTCTTCTTCTTCTTCTTCTTCTCCTTCTTCTCCTTCTTCTTCTTCTTCTTCTTCTCCTTCTTCTTCCTCCCTGGCAGGTAAACTGATCCAGATCGACCCGAACTCTCTGCGTGCGTCGATGCGTCCTGGCTGGGAGGATTTATTGAGGCGCTGCATTCGAATGTTCCTGCAGCACAGTGACGGGCAGCCGTGGTCACACAAACGCCACTACCACGACGGTGTGTGTCTCAGGAAGTGGCTCCTCATCCACTGCTTATTTCATGGCTTATACATACATACATATATGTATATGTGTATATATGTATTTATATATATTTTTATACATAAACATATATTTTGTATAATATATATAATATAATTATATATGTAAATATATGTGCATATATATACACACATTTATATATGTATATATGTATGTATATATATTTTTATACATAAACATATATTTTGTATAATATATATATATACTATGTGTAAATAAATGTTCATATACACATATATTTATATATGTATGTATATATATTTTTATACGTATACATATATTTTGTATAATATATATAATTATATGTCTAAATATATGTAAATATATACATATATTTATATATGTATGCATATATATTTTTATACATAAACATATATTTTGTATAATATATGTATAATTAAAGTGTAAATATATGTGCATATATATACATATATATTTATATATAAGCTGCATAGAGAATGGCGTCACTTTGATTCTCTCCATCACTGTCGTAATTCAGATTTTCTATTGTTTTAAATGTGTTTGTTTTTTTGACGTTGACAAAAACAAAGACAGATGAATGATTTTTCATGACTGAACTGTTGTGGTCAGAGTGAAGTGAAGCCTCACTGAGACCTGTTGGTGAAACACACACACACACAGACACCTGCACCAGTGCATCAGTATTGATCTGCTCTCAGTCCTGTTCCATTGATCCCGTCGTAACATCGTGACTCTGACTGATGAGCTCTGGTCTCTCACCTCTGCTCCACAGCCTTCCTGCAGGGCCACGCTGAGACCCCCCTGTACCGCTTCTCCCTCTCCGACGGCACTCCAGTCACAGCCCAGACCAAGAGCAAACTCTACCGTCACCCCATGAGCAACGAGCCGCAGGGCTTCATCTCCACTCATCTGCTGCAGAGGTCAGTAGAGAGAAAAGCGTGTGTCCATGACTGTATTGACGATGACACCGCTGTACGGCGGCGGCGACGGTGGTGGTGGCCCCGGGCTTTCACTTAGCCTGAATGGCTGAAGTAGTCGCTGAAGTAGCTTTTCATACACACTTCATGTCTGAGACTCTGGAGGTCGTTCTGTGTTCTGATCTAAACCCGTCTTCTTCTTCTTCTTCTTCTTCTTCTGCTTCTTCTTCTTCTCCTTCTTCTTCTTCTTTTTCTTCTTTTTCTTCTTCTTCTTTTTCTTCTTCTTCTTCTCCTTCTTCTTCTTCTTTTTCTTCTTTTTCTTCTTCTTCTTTTTCTTCTTCTTCTTCTTCTTCTTCTTCTGTTCTTCTTCTTCCTCTTCTTCTTCTTCTTCTTCTCTTCTTCTTCTTCTTCTTCTTCTTCTGTTCTTCTTCTTCCTCTTCTTCTTCTTCTTCTTCTCTTCTTCTTCTTCTTCTTCTTCTTCTGTTCTTCTTCTTCCTCTTCTTCTTCTTCTTCTTCTCTTCTTCTTCTTCTTCTTCTTCTTCTGTTCTTCTTCTTCCTCTTCTTCTTCTCTTCTTCTTCTGTTCTTCTTCTTCTTCTTCTTCTTCTTCGTCGTCGTCTCCTCACAGAGAACCCAACGGCTACCGTTCGACGCAGGCTGGAAACATGATCTCAAACCCAATGAGACAACCAGGTGTGGGGGGGCCCAACCCTAACACCCAGATGAACATGAACTCCGGTGGGGGCGTCGGCATGGGGGGCATGAACAGAGGATTTGGCGCAAACGAGCAGGGTCACATGGGTCACATGGGACCCATGGGGGGCAACTCTATGTACGGAGGGAGCGGCGGAGGCGGAGCCATGGGGAACCGCATGATGCCGATGAACCAAATGGGCCAGATGAATCAGGTGGGCCACATGGGTCAGATGGGTCCCATGGGTCACCCCGGTCAGGGCATGCAGCAGCACCCGCAGCAGCCGCCCTTTCAGAGCAGCGGTGGGTTTGGGCTCAGTGGCATGAACAGCCCGTCGGGGAGTCCACGGATGGGCGGGCCCCAACAGGGTCTGCTGATGTCACCGCGCAACCGAGGGAGCCCCAAAATGGGGGCCAACCAGTTCTCGCCCGGAGGTAAAATGATAAAAAAAAGTGTTTTTTAACAACAGTCGGTCTGAGTGTCGTTGCTGTTGTTAATCTGACGACTGTCGTTGCAGGTTTGAACTCACCTATGAGCGGCATCGGCAGCAGTGGGGGAGGTGGGGGAGGGAGCTCCACCACCACCTTTTCCAGCAGTTCCCTAAACGCCCTGCAGGCCATCAGTGAGGGCGTCGGTAGCTCCCTGTCCTCCACCCTCATGTCGCCCTCCGCCCCCAACAAACCCGACAGCTCCCCCAGCATCAACTCCTCCTCCTCCTCCTCCCAGCCCAGCCAACCTGCCAAACCAGGTGCAGAGGGCTCCCAGAGTCCAGCAGGGGGCTTAGGCCCCAGAGCTGCTGACCAGCACCACCCACTGCACCATCACCACCATCATCAGCACCCTCAGGCGGAGAGTTCAGGGGAGTGCCCCGACAGCCAGGCAGCTGCTGGACCTAAAGAGTCCGGGGAGGGAAACGGTGAGGCGACCAGCGAGCCCCCCCGGAGAGTGCCCGACAGTAAGGGCCATAAGAAGTTGCTGCAGTTGCTGACCTCGCCAACGGAGGAGCTGGGGATCGGTGGTAGCGGGCCAACGGGACCCCCGGTTCCCTCAACACCGACCAGCAGCGGTACCACCACCCTACCAGAGAGCAAGGACCCCAGCGGGGGCATGACTAGTCCCTCGTCCACGGGGGTGTCCTCCTCGTCCTCAGGACAGAACACTGGGTCGGGGGGGGCCTCGGCGTCGATGTCAGCAGCCCACTATACGGGGTCGCTGCAGGAAAAGCACAAGATCCTTCACAAGCTCCTACGAAACGGCAACACTCCGGATGAAGTCGCCCAAATCACAGCCGAGGCAACTGGGAAGGCGTCGATGGGGAACCAGGAGGGCGGCGAGGGCGGAACAGGAGCGCCGGGGACCGGGTCTGGGCCTGGGATGGTGACGGAGCCCAAACAGGAGCAGCACAGTCCCAAGAAGGAGAAGACCCACGCCCTCCTCCATTACCTGCTCAACAAAGACGACTCCAAAGAACCACTGGATGTGAAGCCCAAACTGGAAGACCTAGAAGGAAAGGGAGTCTCCGGTTCCTCAGGAGAACCTCCTAGAAACGGCCCCGGCTCAGGGCCCGGTCCTGGTCCTGCACCGGAGCATCCTGAGAGCAAGATCAAGTCTGAACCTCCTGATGATGTGAGATTATCGTTAGTAGAAGAACATGAGTGACTGTAGACGTTGGTGAAACCAGTGATTGGAATTTTGTCCGTGAATTTTTCAGTTACACAACCTGGAGTCCATCCTGGGAGACCTGAGGAGTTCTGGATCGGACTTTTACCCTGATCAGACCGACGGAGGGGCACACAACGACGCAGGGAGCAAACTCCAGGGTTGCCTTGACGACGGCCTGCAGCGTAAGTGACCAAAGAGGTGCATGATGGGAAGTGAAGTACCGCTGAATTCTAGAACTGCACCAGATACTTAAAAAAAATACAATCTAATGATTTTTACTTCACTCGTTGTTTTACTTCAATCAGATGAATCAACCAATCAGGTCTTTGTTTTCAGGGAGTGACGGAATGGGCCCCGGCCCCGGCCCCGGCCCCCGGGGGCAGTTCCAGAGGACCATGTCCATGGATGGGAAACCTCTTGGTGGTCCTGGAGGACCTGGTAGACACGCCATGATGGTCAAGCAGGAGATGATGGGCAGCCCGGACAGCTACCCCGGAAACATGGGTGTGTGATCAGCCCCCGCCCCTCATGTTTAGTTGCCTTGTCTAATAGACTGTATTAAGTAGACGCTGTCATGGTGTCAAAAAACGTCAGTAACATTTGCGATTTCGGGATGAGTGAAAGCGTCCATGACGCTAACGTGGTAGCGGTGCATGCGCTGTTCTCGTCATTACTCACGTCCTGTACACGCAGATTGAAAACGATTCAAATCTGGAGTTTCTCACGCTCCTGGAACTGTGAACGCACACGGGCCAGATCAAAACAAAAGTGAAAGTGAAGACAGGAAGTTGTCCTGTTTGTTCTGGTTCAGTTGAAGACAGGAAGTTGTCCTGTTTGTTCTAGTTCTAGTTCAGTCAACAGGACGACCATGACCACAAAGTCGTCATAAATTCAGTCAACATCTTAGGGTTGATGTCAACCCACAGAGTTCATGTTCTTCATCATCTGTTCTTTATCACCAGGACCCATGAACCGGGCCATGGTGGCTCAGCGCTCCCCCATGGGGGGCTCTGGTGAGTGGGGGATGCCCCGCTCCAGTGCCAGTCCTTTGGGCTCAGCAGGACACCCGTCCATGATGCGTCCAAACATGGAGTACAACAACGGGAAGGGCATGATGTCGGGGCCGATGGTCGGCCGCTCCAACAGCGTCCCCGGCAGCAGGTCAATGCTGCAGCAGCAGCTCATGGACATGGGTGAGTCCGAGGGGGTCCGGGACATGGGTGAGTTTGACCTTTGAAACCCCCCCCTGTCCTCTGTGTGGTAACTGTTGTGTCCTTGGTTCTGCCAGGAGGTTCTGCAGACATGGGGATGGGCCCCTTCGGTCAGCAGGGTCAGCCCGGTCAGTCCCCCAACTGGCCTGACACCGTGATGGGCATGGACGCCAACAGGTTTGTCCAAACGTCCTCTTCCGTCTTCAGCCGTGAAGCTCTGCTCCACCTGAACTGACGGAGTTTCTCTGTGCCGCAGGCGACAGTTTGGCAGCACCTTGGACGATCTTCTGGTTCCTCCGACGACCAGCGAGGGTCAGAGCGACGAGCGAGCGCTCCTGGACCAGCTGGACTCTTTACTGAACAACACAGATGGCACCGCGCTGGAGGAAATAGACCGAGCCCTGGGCATTCCAGACCTCGTCAGCCAGGTCAGTCTGTGACCAACACACACACGTGCACACACACACGTGCGTCCTCCTCTTCCACTGAGACACAGGTAGAACAGATGTCCTGTGTGCTGTGTCCTGTGTCCTGTGTCCTGTGTCCTGTGTCCTGTGTCCTGTGTCCTGGGCTTCAAATATTTCAGTCTTGACTCACCGTGTTCCAGGACTTCTGTCCGTGGAGGAGCCGTCTGTGCTGCAGTCACAGACGGCGACCGACGAAGGGCGATCACAGACGCTGGAGTTTGACCAACTGTTTTTTCTCTCGTCCTTCCTTCAGAACCAGGGCTCGGAGCAGCAGCTGGAGTCCTTCCCGGGACAGGACCCTTCCATGATGCTGGACCAGAAGCCTCACTACGGACAGGGTTACCCCGGCCCCCCCGCCATGCCCATGCAGCCCGGGTACGGAGGGAGCTCGATGCAGGGCCAGGCCCAGCAGGGGGGCTTCGGGCCCATGCTCTCTCAGATGGGTCAGGGCGGCAGTTTCCCTGGTATGGGGGGAGGAATGGGGGCCATGGGTCACCCACGGGCCAACATGATGAGACCCAGGATGATGAGCGCCAACAAACCCATGAGGCTGCAGCTGCAGCAGAGGCTGCAGGGAACACAGGTGCGACGGCCTCAGAGTGTTAGCTTCAATGCTAAGTGTCCAACATGCTGTGTTTTATTGTTGTGTGTTTATGGGGAAGACATTAAAGTTTTTTTTTTACTAATTAATTTTTTTCCATCATCAGTTCATGAACCAGACGCGGCAGGGCATGGCCATGAAGATGGAGAACCCAGGAGGGAACCCCGCCATGAGGCCTGGAATGCAGCCTGGAATGGGAGGACAGGTACCAGACTGAAGTCTTTGTGGTCTTTGATTTAACAAAGGGACAAAATTAAAGACGTTTGTTTCGCAGACGAACTTAGCAAAAAAGAAAACACTGAATTCTGCATAAGAATCGTCTCATTATTTTTATTATTTTTTTGCGTCTCTTTAATGGCGTCTGTTTATAAGACCTTCTGTGCTGCAGTGGGAAAAGATAGATTTTTTTTTTTAAACCTAATGGGATGCGACCCAGTGATGAGCTGCCTGTGGCCAAAGAATTTTTTTTTAATGGATTACAGTTTCTTTGGTCAGTAAAGGCACTCGTCCTCCGTCTGAGGAAGTTCTGTTACGGAGCGTTCTGGTTTTTTTTTTCTGGAACACTCCGTTTCCTGCCTGATGTTTACAAAAATATATATTTGTAAATACATTTCTGAGCAGTACTTCAGGTCCAGGTTCTTTAATTCTGATGAGATCAGCATCAGAGATTCTTTTGATGAATTTTTTTTTCTCCTTCAACCTCCGTCTTTGTGGCGTGTTTGCAGCCCGGCTTCCTCAACGCTCAGATGATGGCGCAGCGCAGTCGGGAGATGGTCAACCTGCAGATGAGGAGGCAGCGTATGATGATGCTGATGCAGCAGCAGCATCAGCAGCAGGTAGCTGCAGCAGCTGCAGGAAGCTTCAGCCCTCCCCCCAACGTCACCGCTCCTGGGGGCATGGACACCCCCATGGGAGGGCCAAACATGGGCCAGCCCGGCCCCCAGCAGTTTGGCTACGGTGGGAACTATGGTGGGTTCACGCATACATGTGCTGTTTGTTTGGAGCACTGCTGCCCTCTGCTGGTGTGTGTCAGTGCTGCAGGTTTAGTGTCAACGGAAATGAAATGAAGAATTAAAAAAATCTCATCGATCTGATGATGACGGTCAGGATGATTTTTTTTTTCATCCTGGCTGTTCTGTGTATTGTCACCGGGAC